TCAGGATGTGATTCAAGTTCTTGTGTGAGCCTTGAGCGCAGCTTTGTTTTATTTATACTCATTACAGAGAAAACTTGCTCACAAAGATAAGTTTATTTTCACTCTACATTGTAAAGTATGAAAATAAAGTTTGCACAACCATCTCGCGGGCCGGATTTAACCCGCTTGCGGGCCGGATTCGGCCCGCGGACCACATATTTGACACCCCTGTCCTAGGGGCATTGCTTGAGAGGATAAACAATCCTTCTAGCTAACTCTAGATGTGCCTCGGGCTCTCCCAGCGGTGAGATGCGGCTTGAAAAACCTCCAGAGAAAGGTGTCCAGGTCACGTTTTAATCTGATGCTAAATAAAACAAGAAAGGTTTAAAAAGGCAAGATCAGCAGGAAGTCTTTGCAGAAGAGGATGTAAAGAGCATCATTTCTATTTGAGGTGGTAAACGCTCCCACAGCCCCCACACATCACTAAAAACTGGATCTTGTTTGCATTGAATTGAGACTAAGTGAATATCTGAAATTGGCAGACACTGACTGGCTGGGCCTTGTTGAGAAATTACATAGAAGAACCTTGCATAAAGAATACATTTCAATTGGAGCAACCACAGAAAGATCATCGACACTGCAGCATCTCTTTAATATGTTCGGGCGCAGGCGTTTCTGCTGTTTATGGACGCTGAAGAATGTGTCAAAATTAAATTGTGTGTCTGTGAACATAAACATTTTAATATGGTCAGTTTTCAATGGCTTTAGTATGTGTGCAGAACTTCACTGATCAGAGCTGGAGACGCCAGCACACAGCTCTCTTCCGCCACCTACTGACACACGTGTAAAGTACATATTTTAAACGGATTTCCTGCTTTGATACCAAATTAAATATATCAAAAACCAACAATACAATTTCACTCTCCAGGACGTAGCATTTACAAACAAGTGGGCTTTATTTTTTGGCGAAGTTTTATTTTGCAAGTGATACATATTTTCAGGGATTGTCTTAACAATGACGAATTCCATCCTCTCCAACAACCAGGAGAGCACATGAAAAGAAATAACTTCAGACACAAACTGTACAATATGTGAATATACGGTAGCACAAGAGATATAAATGTCCAATATGTTTACCCTTGGTTAGACCAAAACTGACTCCATCAAATATCAGAAACTGACAAAAAGCATACTTGCAGTTAAGGTGACTTAGTTCCACTCAACTTTAGTCTTTTTTTTTTAAATTGTTAATATTAAAGGTGTTTTATTTTTTCTTAAATCACATGTAGAGTAATTGTTCTTCATCTTTATTAAAAAAGACTTGTCTGTGTGCTTCGGTGGTGTCGCCCTGAACACCTGAACCGTGTTGACAGTGGGTGCTCCTCTGGAGGAGCTGGGTGGATATCATGCTGCAAAGACACATGAAGGCAGCTCATACAATCAAAAATACGGGTTGAAAACAGTCAGTGAAAGTATCTTTTACATCACATCTGCAGCGGCAATCAGAGGGACTGAAGCAGATAAAACAGAAATAATAATTACTGGAAAAGAACAGGTACAAGAAAGTAAAAATAGCACTTTGTGCCACGATGTGTTTGAAAAGTGTGAGTCGTCTGCATGAATGGAACGTGCCAGTCTTTGTGCGAACCTCCGTTTCTTTCCCCTCTGATTTAAAAAACTATGAAAGAAAAATCAGATGTGGCAGAGAGTAAACATGAACAGGATATAAAAGAGGGTGGGCCTTTCAGTTCAGCCCTCATCTTTTGTGGTGCTGTCCTGTGGATCCTCGTCATTGTCTAAATCACTGTGAAGCCTCTTGGCCGTGATGTTTCTGCTCCTCTCCTCCTTAGCCTCCTTCTTTATCTGAACTGGTAATGGATTCTCTGGGCGTGAAAAGAGGAAACGATGAGGCTCGTGTGAAACATCCAATTA